ATAAAATTGGAGGAATCTTGTGACTTTATAGTATGATAAAAATTAACATTTAAAAGGAAAATCAATAGGGGTCTAGGGAGATGGCTCAGCACTTAAGATCACCTGTTGCTCTTCCAGAGCACCCATTTCCCAGAACCGAAGAAGGCACGTCCAAACCACTTAAACTCCAGTTCTGGTTCCAGTAGATCCAATGTATTTCGCTTCTGTGGGCACCTGTACTCATGTGCAAATACTCACATGAAACACACACACACCTACACATATTTTAAAACAATAACAATAAAAATATAAATACATTTAAAGAAATCCCTAGCCTGAGAATAAGAGAACAAGCCTTGCTTTTTTACTCTTACTTAAAACAAGTGTCCTAAGTTTACTGCTTCATTTTCCTTATTCATAAAAGTGTTCAGGATAGACCAGTGGTACTGAATAATAATGCTCAAGACCCACCCACTGCAAGCTTTCAAAGCCTTCTGCGTGATTTTAATGAACAACAGGGGTTGAAAATCGATGTGCTGTTACTTAGGTAACAGCAAAACTCTCTGATTTTATGATTCATCCTGTTTTGACAATAGTATCAATTGCTACAGATAGCAAACTCTCAGGATTTACAGGGTCCCAAATGCAGAGACTATAGTCAAAGACTTTCTATTCAGAATTAAGATCAGTTTCTCATTGGAACTCTAGATTATAAGCAACTTATCACAAGAACCATTTATACATAACTATTTGTGTGCAATGTATGTTTAAATAAATCATGTCAATCACTTAAGTCTTAGAAACAAACTATTAGAAAGTAGGTTCCTTCAGAAGATGTACTGTTGGAAGGGAGCTACTCATTGCTAGCTCTTATCTGCTTGAAGCCTTCTTTTTTCTACTGTGATTCTGGGTAAAGAAGGTATAACTCTTCCTGAGAAGGAAGTGTAATCAGAAACTGTATATTAGAAGTTACTGTTGTAACTTTCGATTTTTAAGTAAGTGGGCTCAATATACTAGGTGGTAATAAACTTCCTAAAATTTAACTCCTATTAAAAACTATCCTGGGATACATGAAAAAGGATGGCTGATTTATAGAATAATAAAGTAGAGTATCTATTTTTACTGATTTTCACAAGATTAGATCCACAATATCCCGAAACAGTTTTGAAATGTATCACCACAAATTTTGCTAGTATTTTTTTAAAAAAAAAAAACTAAACAGATTTTATAACAATCAGCAGATAATTGCCCCTTCAATTTAGTTTTTATGTAATTTTAAGCAATAGAGGATATATGCAAATGCTATATTTTTTAAAGAATAAATTTTAAAATTGCTACCAGTACTGAGATCCAAAAATCATAGAGGTAGGTGCTTAGAAAATTGGATAAAGACTTCAAATAAATACTGTTATAAAGCAAACACAGAGTCCTTATTCTTGCATTCTATTGCATTTTTCAGTTCACTTTTAAATCCTTGGGGCAAGAAAATGTTCTCCTTCTTTTAGCCAGCCTAATAATAGGAAGAAAGACATGTGCAGGTGACAGCTAATAGCTTACACTGATGAATGTAGGTGTAGCCAACAAAGAATCCACTGGTTGTGTGGAATTTCTGCAAGCCTAGTTATGTTTAAAGACTATTTGAAAAAAATTGCATGATGTACAGAAAGACATTATGAAAAAGAAATGTATGATTTTCAGTATAATATAGTTGCCTGTACCATCATTGCATTTACTTCTGACATCATTGGTCTGTTATTCATATTCTATCTTTACATTTCACACATATTTCACTGTACCTGATGTTTCCCTTGTGAATGACAACCTGAGCTTCATAAATTTAAAAAAAAAAAAATCACAGTTACACCTTTTATTGTAGCAGGCAAATTATGACACAAAAATAATAGTGTGGTGGCCAGAACAGTGAACATGTTTGAAAAACCGTGTCCTGTGCAGCCCAGGACAGCTGTTTTGCTTCACATTAGCTTAACCACTTATCACTTTGTTCTACAATATAACCTTGAAATCAATCAGACATGTGTACCATGCTTTCAAAGAGTGTTCTACAGTGAGAGTAAGCCTTGGAACGTTTGAAAATATGGGTAATACATGCCAGAGGGTTTATAATAACAGTTGAGATACACTAGTAATTGAAAACCAACTAAAGTATTTATGAGGTTAGAGATGTAGCTCAGTTACTAGTGTTTATACAGCATGCACAAAGCTCTGAGTTGAATCACCAGCACTATATAAACTGGGCATGGTGGCACAAACCTGTAATCCCAGTAAGTAGAGGCAGGTGTATCAGAAGATCACCATCATCCTCAGCTACACAGGGATCTTGAAGCCAACATGATCTAGGTGGGAGTCTGCCCCCTCAAAAGAGGAGTTTTCAGTCATAAAATTGCAAGGTGTTGTATGAAATGATACATATTTTAGCATCAGAATGACATCACTCTTTTATGACTCAACTTTTAATAGTAACCAGATGTAGAAATTGACAGCTCCTCTCTCACCTTTCAGATCATCTCTCCTACCACTTTTTCCAAATTCTGGCGTCTTCGTACCAGATTTAGCACATTGTGTTTTGCATTTTTCTTTTAAATAAGGAAAAGCATGATAACCCATATTTAGTAATTCATACATTATTGTACATAAGATAAAGTCATTACAGGGGTGCTATTTTGGAGAAAGGTCAAAGGTGATGTAGCCATGAGAGGATCCACATGAGAAAGACATGGAGTATTTTGGGAAGAAGCACAGGGAAGAGTGAAGGGCTGTCACTTAGAAACCAGAGTTAGTTACCTCTCAATTTTGCCTGGGGCTAGGGGAGGTCAGTCATGCAATCATTGTACAGAGAAAAGCAAATGGACCCACTATTCTAAAGAAGTCTTGTAAAATTTACATGATCTTCAGAGTCTAGCAACACTGTATTGAGTCCACACTTTACATTTGACATTCAGAGTATAATGATGCTAATATCTTGAGCAATGAACTCTCATTAAATGTATATACATATGTAATGTTGTCTCCTTTGAGGTCTTATTTCCAGTAAATGTCTTTTCCTTGTTAAGATACTGGATTCATTTATTGGACATAAATTCATCGTGTGGAAGTCATAAGTAATAGACTCCATCTTGAGAGGACAGTTACTGCATTAAGTAAACCTGCCATCCATAGTTAATAACACAGTTGGAGTGTATTAAAACATGTCATATTCTTAAGTGTATCTTCTTCCTTTGAACTTTGACCAGCTGAGATAAATGTTTTTCATTTGGCCTTGATTGTTGGTTACACACACCACACACACACACACACACACACACACACACACACACACACACACGATAAGAGACATATAGCTAATGAAATAAGTTGTTTGCTACATGCCTATGATTAGGTAGAATTGTCATTTGAGACAGTTATACTGGAAGTAAAGCTAGCTTTAGTTTTAAAATATAATTTGTCATGGTTGAGTGATATCATGGAAGACATACAAAATTTTGACATGGCCAAGACTTTGAGATTTTTCATTAAAATCGGTCATAATTTTGCCTAATGGTTCTCAAATATAGTGTGTTCCTTTTTTCATCTCAACCCATGAATATTAAAAAGGCACAGCGTATACACACCAAAATGGGACAGTGCAAACTGTACTCTGTAGCTTAAGTTAGACATCTAAGTGACAGAGAGAAACCGTCAGTGATCTCAAACACACTGTATGAGCATTTAACCCAGTGGCCTCGGGCATTAAGAAATGTAAAAGGCAAAAAACCCCAAGTACATAGAGACTAACACTAAGCCATGGGATTGTTTTGTTTTGGTTTGTTTTTCCTTCAAGTTTCAGAGTCATTTTTAACATATATAGTAACTTGGCTTAAATTTTAAATACACTCATACATACAGGTTTCCTAGCTGGAGAGTTTCCATGCCTGGGGGAGGGGCGGTGACAATTGGTGCATTCTAGCCAGAGCACGTGTAATGATAATAAAGTTGATTGGTTGAGCCTTGTAGCTCCCCGCTTTTCTCTCTTTCTATAGAGTAGTTCAGCAGGGGGTGACAGGGCTCTCCCCCATCGCCACCAGCTCTACTAACAAGACGTAGGTTGATACCATTTTTATTGTTCTGCTGGGGTGGGAAAGAAACCATATGCTTGAGCATTTTAAATGGCTACACCAAAGGAAAAAAAAAAAATTGAACCAGACCCCTCCCCCATCCTGCTGGACTTTGGGGTGGGTTTATTCTAAATAATCAGTGGACTTGGGATTAGCGCAATGTTTCTGCGCCTGGACAAAGAGTCTTGAGGAGAAGAAATATTAAGGGCTTTAGAGAGGCATTGGACTAAGTGAAGTGTGGAGTGGGAAGCTTACATGTGAAACCCACCCCTCCCCTGGATACCAGGCAAAGGCAGTGAGAGTCGGAACCAGCTGATGCCTCTTCCCGTTTCCAGGGTGAAATTTTCACAGCAGCTAATTCTAAAGGGAAGAAAAATCCCTTTCCAGCCGCGGAGAAGATCCTATCACCCAAGCCAAGCTATGTAACCTTTTAGGCAGGCTTTTCGGAGAAATCCGCATTTTTTTTTTTTTTTAAAAGGCAGCATTCACGGTCCAAACCACGGGCCTGGAATCAGAGCTGGTATGAAAATATGAAAAGCCTCTTTACACTCTGAGTGTTTGAAACGATCCGATGAACATAGCAAGTGACTGCCAACGTTCGGCGGCTTGCTGGTGCCGCCGCTGCCGCCGTTCCTCGCAGAGGGCTGGACAGAGCTAGTCCTGATTTCAGCACCTCCAGCGCTGGACAGCTCCCTGCACGCCTCACCACCGCCTGCTTGCTTTTTTCCCACTCTCGCCTTGCATTACTGGAGATGCATCTAAATTACGTCCTGTTCAACAACAAGTAGATTTTTTTTTTCCTGTACGGGAATTACAGTAGGCGATTCTCTCAATTAAACTGCATTTTCTTCTTTACGGACTTGGCTGTCAGGCGTATTTATCCCGATCTCCCCTCCACCCCCTTTGCAGGAACGAGTCTTTGGGAACGTGGTCCACCCAGGGATGTAAAACTGTGCTTACCGATGCATCCCATACGAAATGCTTATGTGATCGGCTCTCTACCTTCGCCATTTTGGCTCAGCAACCTAGAGAAATAGTAAGTAACAAAGGGAAAACACGGCTTTAATGAAAAGGCAGGGACATTGTGGCGAGTATTTCTCCAGGGAACTGCATTTCAAAGGGGGAAATAGAAAAGGTTGCAGGGTGGCAAAAATCGGGTTCTTCTCCTCAGCTACAGTAGCTTGGTGAAATGAATTCTAGTTGGTGTGCGATAACTAAATTCCACTCAATTTTATGTCTTATAACTTGCTATTTTTGCAGTATAGTATTGAAGATGTACTCTGATATCACTAATATTCTGCAAACTTTCAAATAAAAATAATTGCCAACTCAACGTTTATTTTAAAGCTGGAAAGCTGTTCTGGGGGAATTTGTGACAGGGCTGTTAGGATAGAAAGAAGACCCCAGACACTAGAGCTGAACACATTGCATATCTGCATTGGATATTTTCAGTACAGGTTTTCTGAGGGTGTCCTTGGATACATGTGTATTTTTAAATCAAATTAAGTTTTCATGGAGACATGGTTGTTTGGAACTGTAAAAGCATTCCTTAAAAGCATGTAGATTTTTTTTTGCAAAAAGAAAAAGAAAAAAGAAATAGTTTCTGAAAGAGAGAGCTGTACAGAACAGTCCAAAAGAAAAGGGATGTTCTCACCAAATGTATTTTGAGAAAATTTTACAGAAAATAGAAATAATAACAAATAAGTATCCTGATAAAATATGACTTTCTGCCTAAATTTGGCCTAAAAAGAATCACTCCTTTTACTTGTTTTAATGATGCATATAACTAATAATTTGATACAGATTTTGTGGCATACTTAGTGCATTGCTTCAAACTTCTAATATAAAAATTTATGAAAAACAGCTGGTTTCATTAGGTATGGTCAGGCTACTGTCTAAGAAAAGAAGCCATTTGGATCAGTGGGTGTTTGTACTATTTATATAAAAGATTTTAAAAGATATAAGCTTATTTTTCAAGGTCATGGCTTTAGGGACTGATACTGGCGCTATGCAAATTATCTCCACATACTTTGTTCATGGGAAAAAAAACATATTTTAAGGTCTTAAGTATAGCACCCCATTTTCTTCTGTATACTTGGAAGCCAAGCAAGTAAAATTTAATGTGAGATTACTTGACTCCAAACAAAGTTGTCAAAAGTCTGAAAGTTTCCATTTTTTCCCAGTCACTGTGTACCATAACATAATGATTTATAAATGAGAGTAGCAAGGTAAATCTTACCAAGAGTCCAGTGGCAAAATGACTAAACTGTACTTAGTTGAGGGGGAAAAAACATGCTACTTCAGATTTTACTCAAAGAAAATTTCACCTATGAATGATGATTAAGTTGTAGTTTGGGGTCCTTTAGAAAACTTTGAGTAATGGGCTCTAACCAAACATTCTAAACTCTGAAGACTTTATGACTTTGCAGTGTAAGAGAAAGGGGAGCTAGAATCAGTCCTTTTAGAGCTTGAGAATATGTGAACTGAGTGTTCTGTGGTTAATTATCTGGTAACTGTAACAACTATTTATGCTATTCTTGAGTGATAGCTTAGTTTCTCTTGAGTCTAGAATTTATTTTTATTCATGTGAAATTTCTCTTTCTTTTTCCCTTTTTCCCCCTAACTTACAGGTCATGGAATCTTCTGGGACCCCTTCAGTAACTCTAATAGTAGGCAGTGGCCTCTCCTGCCTTGCCTTGATCACCCTAGCAGTTGTCTATGCAGCTCTATGGAGGTATGTAGTTAATGAGTAGACTTGAGATGGAGACCTTGGTGTCTGTGTGTGAAAACAATGAATGCAGCAACGCATGTCCACTCTCTTCCTCACATATTGAAAGCAGGACCTTTATAACAGTATTAGAACTTCTGTAATAGAACTGGAACACACAGGAACTGGATTGACCTAACTTTCTTCCCTTTATTTGTCTGTGGTAAAAAGAAACAAAACACATAGGCATACCTTTCTTCTAGCTCATGTTACTGTGTGTTTCAACACGTTCTTCACATGTAAGCACAACATTCTTAGGTCACAAGTTCCTTCTCTGTGATGTATTGTTCATGTCAGCTGCTGTGGAACTTCAGAACTTAATTGGTACAGTCAAAGTTCTCTCTACAGGAAGAGGATATCCAGTTCTCAAGTGCCAAACATGCTTTCAGTATGTCCTGCACAATGAGCGACACCTTCTCTGATGTTAAAAGCATTAACAAAATCCCAATGTTCTCTACAAAAGGTCATGTACTCCAGTGTTTGCTGTGAGTCAGGTTTTGACAAGTTTGATAAAAGAATATCATAAAACTGAAAAGGAAATGTTGGGAAATTTTTGTTCTCTCATAGTTTAAGTTGAATCTATTTAATAATCTGTAGAAATTTAGTATTTTTTTCTGAGTAATTTCTAGGTAATTGTTTAGGGTACTATTAAGAATTGGGTCTGTGAGGTTTGGTATGGCTACTCATGATTTGACAATGTAAAGGTAAAATGTGACCAAATTTTTAAATGGATTTTATAATTTTAGCAGTTAAAGGCCTTATAACCATGGTCATTTTTTTTTTCTGGAGCTGAGGACCGAACCCAGGGCCTTGTGCTTGCTAGGCAAGTGCTCTACCACTGAGCTAAACCCCAACCCCCCATTGTCATTTTTAAAGTGGTCTAAAATGCAGTGTTACATTAGTATGTAGATAATTACTTATTGTTTCCTGAATATTTGATATATTTAAAATTGCAAAAGTAGATGTCCCTACCTCAAAGACTTTTATGTTTACCTAGGGCTTTATACAATCATCCAAAAAAAAATCAACTACTGTTTAATAAGGGATACTTATTTAGAATAATATTGACATTTAAATAAAACATTACTGTCCATTATGGCTTTCACTGTTTTGGAAGGAAGAATTAATTGTGAAACATATTTAAATCGTCAACGATATTAGGATTATTCATGCTTTGTGAGAGAAGAAAGTCTGTATCTGTATATATTTTGGCCCAGGTACATAACAGAAGTTCTTCATCACCGTGATAGTTTGGTATAGCAGAGAAACATTGGAAGAGTGATAGAAGAGAGGAAACTTGAAAAATGCCTACTGTAGAGATGATGTTGTTGATAACAGAATTGTATGTTCAAGACTGGATCAGGCTGTTGTCCTGTAAAAACAAACGGACAGGCTTGGAAGAATCCAACTTCCCAAATTGAGTTAATGATGATGTCTTTTTAAAAAATGAAGCAATTGACTAAGATACTAGGTGATCCTGATGACTTTGTAATTCTTATCCCATTGGAATCTTTGTATTCCATTTTCAACAGTTTCTGCTCATGTGTCAATTCCTGCTTCTGTTACACCCCTCTCCTCTCTTTCTCTACACACACACACACACACACACACACACACACACACACACATAGCCAATATCAGTTTATGACACATTTGTTGATTCACCTGAAGGGTTCTTAAATTCAGAAACAGCAGGACAGTCACTTACTACAACAGAATTCTAGGTATTTCTGAAAATCATTAAAGAGTCTATCAAAACCTATCTTGAAGTTGAAAGTTACAGAAAAGAGTACCAAGAAACGGCACAAATCTGTATTCCGAAGAATTAAATGGTCATCCTCTATCCATAGGAAAATTGAAATAATAATTACAATTTGAAAGAAGTGTCCAGACTCATGAATTTCTAAATGGATCTTGTAGCGTGACTCATTCAAAGTGCTTCATCAACACCAAGTGCATACACCCTAAAACATGCTGGTTCAGCTCTAAGAGTTCTGGGAATCTGCCTGCTTTTTTTTTCCTCTAATAAAAATATGTAGGGTTAAAACTTTTCTAGTGATTTCTGAAATGTGGTAGCATGCGAGGTACTTTATAGATAGTATGCTATATTGAAATTTGTAGATGCTCCATGTAGTTCACTACAGATGTCCCTTCACAACTGACAGGGTCGGATATGGATCTCAGAGCCAATGCCTGCCTTGCATTTGTGATACTCATAGTTTCAGTTCTCAGAGATAATCACTTTCTTTGCTATTAACACTATTGGTAATCATGACAATGATGATGATATAATAATAATAATAATAATGATAATAATACATTAAGCGGTTTTTTTCTCCATCTAGCCATACAACCAGCTTGATACACTGTTAAGTCAAAAAGCAATCCAGCATGTCCTCTCAGTCAACTTATTGACATAAAAAGTTCACAAACTTTTTTTCAAAATATCAAATGTCATATGACAATGCTGAAAGTAGTGACATTTCTTAGCAGAACTTAGGGCAACAATATGACTCAGTATTGTTGAGAAAAGGAAACATCTAGATAGTGTTCGGGGCAGCCAATTGGTCTTTTATTACTCTGTTTTGTTTTGTTTTTTTATTTATAAACAGAAAATGTCACTGAAATCCTTTTGATAGTGTCAAGATGTGTGTTTGTATTATCATGGATTCCTTTAACATCAAAAAAGATTTATAGCCTTCATCCACAAGGAAAAGAATAATGTAATATTTGTTGCTACCTTGAACACCCCCGTGTGCACTCTATCATATGTTTAGATATTCAGAATGCAGGAGTGATGGCCAACAACCCTTGAAGCCCATTTTTGCTATGTGTCAACCTCACTTACTCCAATTCGGGTTTATCTTGCAAATAAAAGTTCTTTTACATTAGGAAACCTAATTTTTGTGTTTTGGCGTTACTGGTGTCTTTAATTTTCTTTAATTTCTGGAGTATGTGGTTGCTGCCTACATACTCTTTAAAGATAAAGTGGGGAAAGAAAGAACTTTGTGAGATTATATCTTTGAAAAAGTACATCTAGATCTTTGATTCCTCCATCTAGCACTGCACAGAAAATCCTGTGCCTGCTATGGTTCGGGGCCCCACGTTATAATACAAATACAACAGGCTGAAACACACATCATGTGCAAGGTTCTCTTACAGTATTGTTACTTAATGATTACCACAGGGTACAGTTAAGCAAAATAGCTGCAATCTTTCCAGGATAAACAGCTGGTAGAACAGTTGATTCTGAACAGTTTTTGCTCTTTCTTACATTCTTAGTGCATTTTAAAATCATATAGCATGTTATATATACAGTTTTCATCCTAAGGGAAAAATATGGCAGTCATCAAGAATGGTCCATTCTAATAGTGAATGATCATTTGAGGAGTGCATTCATTTTTATACATACAGACTTTTGCTATTTTTTTCCGTGAAAGAGATACTCAAGGATATAAGGAATTAGCCTAGCTATATAGAAATGCTTGAGTAGTTACTAATATTCATGGTAAAGTAATGCATCCTTCTAGTATATAGGAGAATTGCTTTAAAATCTGGGTGGGGCTTTACTGTTGGGCCTCAGTGTTTCTATTGGTTGATACAGATATTATAAATGTGTATATATATATATATATATATATATATATATATATATATATATACATATGTAAGAAGGTGATTATAATGATTGATGTAATTCCAAGAAATTTTATACATCTAGGACAAAATACTACATTGTTCTCGCATATGTACAATTTAGGTTCTGTCAACTATGACATACTACAGAAAAAAAATAAGTCTAAAGTTTTCTTGTACATATCATATACTCTAAAAATTGGGTACTCAAGAAAATATATATGAAAAATGGTTTTCCATATCTTTATATGAAATCTAGGGTCAAAAGTTCTCGTTAATTCCACCAATTACACAATATGAAATTTGTCATGTTTCTTTCTCTCTCTGACTAGGTACATCCGCTCTGAGAGGTCCATAATTCTAATTAACTTCTGCCTATCTATCATCTCATCCAATATTCTCATACTGGTTGGACAGACCCAGACACACAATAAGGTATGATTGCTAATGCCTCCAGTTCTATTTGTGTGTTTGTTTTGCATATAGTTGGTCACTGGTTTGTCTTCAGTTTTTATTCTAAATAACTATTAAAATATATGATTTTAATTACTCCTTTTGTTTCTAAATAAATGTACAGCCTATTACAGTCCACAAAGAATCTTCTGTTGCCTAACAGATCTTTAGTGCTATTGACTGTATAATATTCAGAATACTCAGATTATATAATATAATACTAAGAAGACATTCATCAAAGCTGTATGTCTTCAAAGCCTTGAGACACCAACAACCAATATTTTTTATTTATTGTCCCAATTGTGTAGCATTCAAATGGAATTCACCATAATGTCTGTGTTTAGGTCTAATTTATTAACATACCAACTACTAAAATGACTGTATCAATGAATTATAATCATAACATCACTGAAAATCTACCTCCAAAATAGTGTATACACAATAATCGCGGAATTTACAACTACGTTTAGCCCTTTCAGAAGTTTTTCTTTACTGAAAGCATTTTGATACTTAAGCAACATTGTAGTTATTTAAGCATATAACCACTTTTTGTCAGAGTGTGGAACTATATGTCCCATTTTTAGGAACTGACCAATATATATTGGCTGAATATCATTATTTTCTTGAATAAATGACTATCTTTACTGAACTATTCTGCACTAGTTCAGGAAACCAAACCCAGCCTCAAAATAATTTACCCGGGACTCAATATTTTAGAAGTAATTAAGAAAAAATCTTATTTCAAACACCAAAACCAATAGTTAAAAATACTCTTTTTTGAAGTTTTTTTCAATAGATAGTCATAGCACATGTATGAAGACTGTAAGTAGTCTGGTTATCCTGCTAGTTTACAACTAAGATTCATAATTCCCACCCAAAGAATCTATTCTAGGCTTGGATCGGGCCTTGGAGGTATATCTTTCTCTTTAAACCACATTGCTCCAGCCAGGAAGACCCAAGGGTAAAGCCACTAACCCTTAAGACAAACCAAAACAACAGCCCTTTAGACAGCCTATAAAAGTAAAAACTAATTTCATGTCCTTGGATATTTTTAATATATTATTTCTTATTTATTTTTCTTCATAAAGAGACAAAAGAATAAGAGATTTATTAAAATCTGGTACATGGCCATGTTAGGAACAAGTGGTGTAAAATTTTAAAAGAAGTAGATAGCAGGATGGAAAACCGAGAGCCAGAGTAGAGGACCAGAGGTGAACAAGAGACCAATGAGCATTGGGAGGAAGAAAGAATGCATGAAAGTACCTGAGCTAGGAAGATGAAGGTGAACACAAGTCTCAGATGAGTTGGAAGAAGTTAAGAAGGAAGCAGAGAGAAGGAAGGAGGGAGGATGTGGACGCTCAGTTACCATGCCATCCCTCTCGTTCCTTCTTGTGTGCTGGGCTTCAGATCCTCCTTGCTCACTTAGTCCCTGGTCTCAGTTCTTTAGCTGGCTGTCTTTGAACTTCCCATACAAAAGAAGTGCCTTTTCCTAAAGCAGGAATTGTAAACTGAGTTCAGTAACCAGGAAAAACAAATCAAGCCAGAATCTGTGTGAGCCCACTTTGAAGATTCCCATATAAAATGCTTACTTTGCGTCACTTTTTACACCCTAAATTCTAGGGTTCTGCCTCTCATTGGACTATGGGAAACAGTGATGCTCAGTATGGAATATGCTTTTGAAGCCGTTTCATGTGCTGTAACGTGAAACTACTAGTGCAACTAATAAATAGAAATAAATTCTATATTGTTTATTACTGTATTGAGGTTATGGCCTATCATGCCTGACCTATAGGAATACATTGCAAACCCTATCTATAGCTTACATTTTTAATGACGACATTTAAATCAAGTGAAAATGAACAATTGAAATCATTTAGATATATTATATCTAACTCAGTATACCTATAATATTACTATTTAAACATGTAATTAATATAAAATTATTAATGGAAATATTTTTATCACCTCAAGTCTTCATAGTCTGGTTATGTTTTATACTTAAATTGCCTCTCATTTTTACTAGCTAGATGTCAGTTGTTCACTGATGACACACAGCTAATGACAACCATATTGTGATTGTGTATATCCAAATGTTAGCAATATCCACAAACTAGAATGTTCAAAAACAAACAAAATCTCCATACGTGTCCATTTTGGCCTATGCAAGGTTTTGGTGTCCTCACTTTAAAAAAGTATCTTTTTTTTTTTTTTTTGATGTTTTCAAATATTTTGAATGTTAGCAGCAAGATAAGACAAGCCTTGTTTTCCTTTTCATTTCTGATTGTGAGAAATGGCTGGTTTGTGCTTATTAAAAACTAAGGAAAAGTTTTGTATGGCATGGTTTCTCCCCAGGAAACCAACTACAGAATAGATTTCATGTGGTGTTGGAACCATAGTGGGCTTGTTCCAGATTGACTATGCTAATTTTTGCTGCTAGTTTATTGATGCTTGTGGGAGGAGTGGATCGTAGGTGGTGGTGATTATGTGGTTCTCTCTTATTCTACATTAATTTTGTGTTATTGTTTCTGCATTTATGTTCTTACAAGCTTAGGACTATTAATATTAGAACTAAAAGGAGATAAAGTGGAAAAAATGAAAATTATTCCAAGTCATTCTCAACAATATCAGATTTCCTAGGGGGAGCAATTATGGATCTGATACATATTTTGAGCCTAATTAAACTGTATATATTTGATTTTATATGTGTTTTGGTATGTGACATTGTTTCCATACAACAAAGTGAAAATGTATATTATTCATATAAATATAATCTATATAAACTCAAAGGAAGTAAAAATTTAAAAATTAAAAATATTGATTAGTGGCCAATTTTGTTTTATTTGGATTTTGGGTTATATGTAAGACTTCTTAGCTACTATAGACAATTTGTAATTGGTCTGATTCCTACGTTTGACTTTCCTGACAAGTTTTGACTAGTGCTTTAATATTCCCCACTTGGAAAATAGAAACATATGTGAAAGATTCTTGATGAGCAAATTATTTGGTACTACTGTCTTGTCTACTTTGTGTAAAAACTGGCATTTGCTGCTGCTGTCCAGAATCACGCTGAAGTGTTGAAGTGCCGTCTCTCCCGACTCTGTGCTGAAACATAATTGACCTGATTATCATGCTGTGCTCTCTGCTTGCTTTTGAATTGGGGTAGAAACAAGCCCAAGTAATCCACTGTTTAAAAGATGAGTATACTCAATATTTAAACTATAGGTTCACCAGCTGGCAGTAAAATAAGGAATCGAATGCACTATCTTATCTCTCCTCTTAAAATGTGCTTGTAAAATTTAATTATGACTTGCTACATTGTGTTTGAAGCTTTTCTCATAAAGCAGCTTTGACCCTTGGTCTCTTTATACATTTAAAAACCTCAACCAGGATATTCATGTTTCACTCAAATTGACTGGCCATGAGTTCATGCCATAAAGAAAGCATGTGTAATTGTGTAGTTTTGTAGATTATTTTTGATGCTGCTTGCTACTTTTCAATAAGCAAAGAATGTTTCAGATAGAGATAAATTCAGAAAATAGTTTACCTGGTCACCAAAATTCCAAGTATATTTTTGTTCTGATGTGCTTTATCATTCCAAAAGTTCCATAGAACTCAACAGAAGGAAGCAGAGTTGGACAAAATCATTTCTAGTGGTGGTGGTGGTGGTGGGTTAAGTAATGACAAGCAATCAAGAAGTTTAGTGTATTTGGAGATAGCTCAGGGATAGCTTCTCGACCTCACTACTCAGTTATAATCCAATATCACATACCCAGAGAGTTATTAGATAAATCATTATTAATAAATCAGAAACAAAACTTCTTCTGGAGACTCAGGGAGAGCTCGGGTTTTTTATGTCTTGATGCTTAGACAATAACCTGTATGGATTATCCTCTGAAAGTAGACATATCACTGCTTCTATAACAAAATTCTGTGGCCTTTAGTCGCCAAGACTCAATCAGAAATATACCTAATCCAATGTCCAGTACAGAATGATTGGGCATAAACTTGTGGCCCTTTCTCTAAGAGATCCAGGATGCATGTCTCAGTGGAAAATTAAATATATTTCATTCAAATGAGAGAAATAAGCAGAACATGGTAGCTCTCACATTTTTAACTGCAGCACTCAGGAGGTAGAGGAAAGGGGGATTTCTGTAAGTTAGAGACCAGCCTATTGTATTTAGTGAGTTCCAGGGCAGCCATGGATTCTTAGATCTTGTCTCAAAAAACAAACAAACAAACAAACAAATCTAAAGGAAGAAATGACTAATGGTATTAGTCAATCCATATAAAATGAAGTGCCTGTATTTTCACCAAAGGGAATCCATTAATGTACAACAGTTAACCAAATGCTAATCTCTTAGTTGAAGCCAATCTTTTGCATTGAGTTTGGAAGTGAGTTGTATATTAATCATGTGTAGATAAAACTAGATTAGAATGACATGTGGTTGCCTCCTTTGAAGTGTGGACCTTCTGAAACAATGCCAGTTGATCCTTATGACTTGTACATTATTGGAACCCTACTTGATGAAAGATTAAACTAACTAGTATTATATCATATGGAAAGTACCAAAATATAATAAAATAAACTTAAGCCATCCGATCCAGCACAAAAGATTAAAGTTTTGAAAACTAATCAAATACATAAGGGAAAGATTAAATGCTAGCTTTAGTCTTAGAAGACAAGAACTCAATCAAAAGTCATCATTAGCTGGGAAATGGAAACTTCTAAACTACTTGGTATGCATGCTGTTTTCTCAGTAATATTTAGACAGTTTGATCTCATAAGTTTTTATGTGTATAGTATTGGATTATATAATTAGATGCCTTTTAATTTAAAACTGTAAAAGATACAGTGGATTCTGTCTTGGAGAACTAAAAAAAAAAAAAAACACATACTCTCCAAGTTTACCCCTCTTTGTCTTGTGTTTATTTTAGTTTTCTAAACATGTTGTGCTCTTGGTCGTGAGCCTTGCCTTTAGAAG